AACAATCCCCAGCATCAGGGCAGGAGGGAAACCGGACGCACAGCTATCGATCACAGCCAGCGTAATCGAAAGCATGCGTGGCAGAAGATCGGCGAACTTCCCAAAAGTAATCTCCCCTTCGGCGTCGATCCCGGCTTCCTCGGAAACCGAGAAGTCAAAGGGGGCTTCGCAGATGAATTGCAGCCACTTGAGCAAGATCGAGCCCACAATCAGGACATGCTCATGCACAATCGGCAAGTTGTTGGAATCTATCGTGCCATGGTTGCAGCAAGAGCAGGCGAGGCAACAAAAGGGAAGAGCACGGCGGCGGTGGCAACACCGCAGGATGCATCGGAGTTAGCACCGGGCAGGGGCAAACATACGGGCAGCAAATGGACGAAGGCACGGCATGGTGGGACATGTGTGCGCACCGAGCCTGTCAGAGATGCCGATGGCCGCCAGGGATATCTCGGCCAACATGTCCAGGAGAGCGGCCGCCCGGCTGGCGGCGAAGTCCAACAGGCGGAGGAAGTGCTTGGGAGTGGGCTTGCCCGGGGCATTCGGGCCCCCGAGCGGTGGGGCCACCACATCCGAGCAGCAGCCCGCCTCGAAGGCCAGGAAGATGTTGAGCAGATCGCGGTTGGTCGCCTGCCGTGCCACATGCCACAGGATCTGGGGATAGTTTGTTTTGAAAGGCACAGGCGGGGGAGAAAAGCGACCGGTCGTCATCAAGCTATCCAGGATGGAGGTGGCATCTGCCGAGGCATCATGCCGGTCTTCATCCTCCGAGGAGCCAGGATGAACGAGGTCCATAGTCAGCAGGAAGGGGAAGGTCGGCATCCGGTCATCGTCCTCGTCCTCGTCCTCGTCCTCGTCCTCGTCGTCGGTGTCGGTGTCTTGATCGCTGGATGAATCAACGGCAAAGTCACAGTCGATGACATGAGTTTCCGCGGTGTAGACGAGATCCATGGCGGCCGGCCCAAAGATGGACATGGCCAGAAACCCATGAAGGGCATCCAGATTCAAGGAGAAGGTCGATGCCGAACCCAAAACTGTTTGGCAGAAGGACAAGGCACAAGGTCAGAGGGGGGATGTGCTTGCAGGAGCTCGGATCACTCTGACACGCACGATATGTACGCAAGGCCACATTCCGGGCAATGTCCGCCAATTGGGGGATGTGCGACAGGCTGGATGCATGCTCAAAGAGCTTGAGAAGGGAGCGGTGCGCGGCCGACGGGATGTCCACCTGCAAATTTTCGGGAGCTGCTCGGTCCCGGGGGAGGGGGGGGGGGGAGGATGTGTGTGTGTGTGTGAGAGAGAGAGAGAGAGAGGCACAGGGACAGACATGTTAGAGGAGTTGCTCGTCTGGCTCACAGCCACATGCGAAGACGTGCATACAATTATGTATGCGTGTCCGTGCGTTAAGGAGAAGATCAACGAAGATGGAGGAAGGGAGGGAGAAAAGGAGTGACGGGACTCTTTCACACGGACCGGCAACCATGATGGCATGCAGCAAGAGCAGGGGCTCCTCCTCGTCAAAGTCGACCTGCTCATAAATTGAGTCCGCCAAATTGAGCATCAAATGACGGAAACACTCATATGGATGACGGAAGTCCGTTTGACGGTCGCCCCAAGAGAGGGAGGCCCTATTGCGGATATGGCTTACCGTTTTAAGGAAGTGGTTACGGTCGAGAACCTCACGCAGTCGGGGAATGGCAGCGTGCAGCACCAGGAAAATTTGCCCCATGATGTTCGAGCCAGCCGGCAACCCGGTGTGCATCAGGAGCGACACGCTGAAGAGGACACGCGCAAAGGGCTGGGTATCTGGCATATGATCTGACAGGGTGGCCAGAGGATTGGGGGATGGAGAGAAGGAAGGAAAGAGGCAAAGAGATATACATATACATATATATATATATATATATGGAGGAAGACGGCAAGGATCACTGGTCAGAGAGGGTGACATGCACCAATTGAACATTGGGGAAGATAGCAGGATCGAAGGCAACGCACAGATTTGCGGCGCAAGCAGCTCGAGCACCCTCAGATAGTTCATGATGATGTCATCCATGAAGAAGCCAGGCTGTGGCAAGAGAGCCGACAAGTCGAGCATTTGATTGACACGCGTGCCGGTCGGCAGGCCCATCCTCACGAGAAGGTATAGACAATGAGCAATCGCACGGTATCTCTCGCGGTACAGTGGGTTTGGTTCGTCGACTGTTGTGCAGGAGTCAGAGAAGCAGAGAAGAAGGGGACGGAAGCACAAAAGGGCGCAAGTCGTGCCGAAAGGAGGGAAGGGGAGCCACATGGAAGCATGAGGTGCCAGCCACGTACAGATGCTGGACTTCAAGGTGTCAATCGCGCGGAAGAATGGCTCCACCAGAGGATGGATGACATTGGTGGAGACACCTTCGAGGGCGTGAGACCAACCATGGAGGAAGAAGAAGAAGAAGAAGAAGAAGACAGCAGGGCAGATGGCTGGTTAGCGGCAGGAGAGGGGCACGACGAGGCAGAAGCATGACAAGCGCACCATCACTCGGCTGGATACGGGTCAATATCGACTTCAGGGACGACAGGATCTGGAAGGATTGGTAGACAGTCGGCCCGTTGATGAGCATCTTGATCAGGGTCATTGGGATCGGGGTGGCGAGGCAATCGATCAGGCCTGAGAAGGAGGAAGTCAGCGTGTGATCCTTGTGTGATCGTGCGCGCATTTGGGGAGACGAAGGAGGAAGTGTGCGGCGGAGATGGGGGGGGGGGGGGGGGAGACACACCCTCAGCTGAAAGAGTGAAGATGAAGTCGCGGCAGCGCTCGAACAGGGGGGACAAGGTGTTGGACTCCTGTAGGACGATATTGCATGCCTTGTTCACCACCTCGGTGTGGAACAGATAACCACGGAACGCGAATGAGCCGTAGACGAGCTTCAGCAGACAAAAAGAAGCCAAACGCTGGGAGGTGGTGTCGGTCGACCGAAGGAAGGCGGCGCAAATGGTGTCAGCAGCACCGTGTTTGAGGTACTTGTGGAAGCAGTCCTCTGCAAAATGACACAGGTCAGAGAGAGAGTCGTCCAAGAAGGGGAGGGGGGGGTGGAGAGAGAGAGAGAGAGAGACAAATTGGCAAAGAGAGTGGAGGCCCTTGACATACGCTGATGAGCGACGGTAAAGAGTGCCTGCAGGCCGAGTAGGCGCTCCTCTAGCACATCACTTTCGGCCAGAAGAAGAACATGCTCGATGAGCTCGTCTGTGGACGTCACAAGTCAGTGTGGAGCAATGCACCGAGGAGACCGGGCGAGGGTGGCACACATACCGGAGGAAAGCCGCTGAATCAGAAGATCAAGAGCACTAATGGGCGGATGATGTTAGGACGATCAGGAGAGAAAAGGAGGGCCCTAGGAAAGATCTGCCCGAGTGCGGTGGAGGGGGGGGGGGAGAGGGGGAGAGAACAACAGCAGGGCAAACATACGGGCTGGCCATCTCTGAATTACTGGAGAGAGCAATTGAGGCCAGGTCGGTGATACTCACTGCCGCGAGAGGAGACAGGGAGGGGAGGAGGGAAATGCACATGGAAAGGTGAGATAGGTGTGTAGAAGGAGAGAGAGAGAGAGAGAGGGGGGGAGGGAGGGAGGGAGGGAGATCCAGTGTGTTCAGGAACCGGACGGATGCGCACCTTCATTGGCGAAGCTGTTGAAGGCGGAGCTGGACTCAAGCAACTTACGATCGACCGTCTCATGGAAACGCCGGCGTTGCAGGAAAATACTAAGCAGGGTTGTGATGTGTTTTGAATTGGTCTCCTCGATGCTGCGCACCAAGTCCAAGACGTCGGCGTATGAAAGGAACATGCCAGCGGCGGCAGCCCCGAGAGCGGTCGCCCCGAGGACGGCCGGGCCAAGGGCGACCGCCCCGAGGACGGCCGAGCCCAGTGCGGCAGCACCCAAAGCAGCCGCGTCCATCCCGCGAAGAAAAGGAGAGCAGAGGAGAAAGGAGGGAGATGGACAAGGTGCGGAGAGGGAAGCAAGGGGGACGCGGAGGAGATGGAGGGAGAGAGGGTCGGAGAGGCGTGCCAGGGTGGTTGGATGCGGGCCGCAGGGGGGAGGCGAAAAAAATGCACGTATTTGCTTGGAGATGCTCCCCTGGCCGAGCCTTTGCCCGTCCCAGCAATCTTCTCCATCGAAGGTGGTGGCAAGCGGGGCAGAACTGGAGGGCAAGGGAGGAGGGCTTTGGTCATTTCCCCACATCCAAGGCTCGAAGCCGGGGCCCGGTCTTGCCCAGCTGGGAACGGCCATCGGGACGCTGGGAGCACCCAGCCCCGGAGAGTTTCCCGGCTCGTCCAGATGCACACTCCAGCCCGCAGGCGCACGCGCGCACAAACACACACACACACACACAGCAGGAGCCTGGAAGCGCGTGCGGCCAGGAAATGATCGACGTTCGCGAGGCCAGCAGGCGGAAGTTGGAAAAAAAATCCCCCGACCATGGGAGATGAAGATGGGGTGGCGCAATTTGTGACTCCCTCAGGCGTGATTACGCAACAACAACGACGGGAACGTCGTCGCGCACAGGGACAGCGCAGCTCAACGGCAGGCCATCCGCACGGGGGGTGGTAGAGGTGGGGGGGGGGGGGGAAAAAAAATACAACACGATCATAATGGAAGAGAGCGGTTCCAGCACTCTCGATGGAGCCCCCCCAGGCAATCGAACATGCTACCTGGCCACAGGGGGGGGGGGGGGCGGCATAAGCACAGCCACCGGCTCGCTCTGCTCCACGACGCACCGTGCGCTGCCTCACGCACTGGGGGCTGCTCCTCGGCGAGTGGCGCCGCGCCCGCTCCCCCCCCCCCCCCAGCCCAGAAAGAAAAGCCCGCGCAAGAAAAGGC